ACGGACCGCTACACGGTGGAGAAGGAGCTGGTGGCGCACACCGACAGCGTTCAGACACTGTGCTCGGCGGAGGATCGATACGTGCTCAGCGGAGCCGCGCAGGACGACGGGAAAATCGGCATCTGGAAAGTTGAGTAGAAACCAGATGTGAACACGCATCACGATATGCACACGTTAATTAATATGAGGAAGAAATGCACGACCCATTGTGGAATAGATCAGAAATGTGCTAATAATATTGTGTTTGAATATTAAGTGTTAATATTAAAGGGAAAGACACTACTTTTATAATGCATTTCTCGGCGTTATATCAATATTTATGTACTTCATGCATGTCTGAATGTGATTTCCTCTGGACTGGAAACAGCAAATGTGCCAGTGTGAATGTCTATTAACGTGCAAACATACACGGGACGTAAAAGAGAGGCTTGCTTTAAGATGTTTTACAACATTTGCTTCAGTTGTCATCAGTAAAACATCAGCACTTGATGAAATGCATGTATTTTATACAAGTGAGTTTCTAAAGGGATCATTTTATCATTTTTATTTTAATAATGAACAACTGGTGGCATTTTAGACATGTGAAAATGCACTTTACCAACACTAGTTATCTTATTTACCGATAATAATAGTTTAGGATGCACAAGTTTGTCTTTTGTTCATTTGAGCCTCGTTGGACACTCAAGCCATAGAACATAATGGAGGAGTGACTGTGTTATGCATACATTGTATTTCATATGAAGAACTTTTGTAATATATTGTATCTGTATTTAACTATACAAAATCCATTTTTACTGGCCATAATGGTTTTATATTGAAGCATTTTTACTTCTGCATTTGTTCATAAAGGTTTTTGTTTTGTAAGACTGGGGTTTAGTTCATCATTTTAAATTAAAGTAGCAAAGACGTCTGTATTTATTGTACATACTCCTTATAAAGATGCCTGTTGTAAAGCACTAGAGGGCAGCAGATCCAATCTCTTCATCATCTTTACAGCTTCTTGTCTTCGTAATACTTCATTCTCTGGCTGAGAATCAAATACTAGTACATTAATTACTATTGCCTACTATTAAAAAACTGCTCATTTAAAACAATATATGTGAAACCGCATGCAATGATGACAAACTTTCAAACATTAGTATGCGTGTCACATGACCTAATCGCAATGCATGTTTACTTAAGAAAGTGTAGCAGTGCTGTTACTATATTTATCAGAAATGAAAAACGTGATTATTTTGGTTTTTTAATTTAGTTGAGTGCACGTTTGACAGTGTGATCATCAAATAATGAGTGAACAACACATTCTAAGAATGTTAATTCATTTGGCAAAGGAAGTTTTATAAACTCATAAACTTATAAATTCATACACTTATGAACTTTCATGAATTCATACACTTGTGAACTTTTAAACTCACCATAGAAACCACCCAAAATACCTTAGAACACCCTAGCAACCACCCAAAATACACTAGAACGCCCTAGCAGCACCATAGCAACCACCCAAAATACCTTAGAATACCCTAGCAACCACTCTAAATACCTTAGAACACCCTAGCAGCACCATAGCAACCACCCAAAATACCTTAGAACACCCTAGCAACCACTCTAAATACCTTAGAACACCCTAGCAGCACCATAGCAACCACCCAAAATACCTTAGAACACCCTAGCAACCACTCAAAATACCTTAGAACACCCTAGCAGCACCATAGCAACCACCCAAAATACCTTAGAACATCCTATTAACCACCCAAAATACCTTAGAACACCCTAGCAACCACTCAAAATACCTTAGAACACCATAGCAGCACCATAGCAACCACCCAGAATACCTTAGAACACCCTAGCAACCAACCAAAATACCTTAGAACACCATAGCAGCACCATAGCAACCACCCAAAATACCTTAGAACACCCTAGCAACCACCCAAAATACCTTAGAACACCCTAGCAACACCATAACAACCACCCAAAATACCTTAGAACACCCTAGCAACCCCATAGCAACCACCCAAAATACCTTAGAACACCCTAGCAGCACCATGGCAACCACCCAACATACCTTAGCAACGGCCTAGCAACCACCCAAAATATGTAAAACTTAATTTTATTTGGCAAATGAAGCTGAACATCCATAAAATAGAGAATACATTCTAGCATAACCTTCATATATCATGCTATAAACTTAAAGTAACTAAAGTTACTCTTAGTGTGCAGAGCATTTTTATATTATGTCCATGTGTTTTAGTTGCACAGATACATGTGAAAACAAGAGAAGTCTTGATTGAGTTTGGCATCTGGACTCGTTTCAATCATGCTTTAGTGTTGTCGTCCCAGGAGAAAGACGACACGGTTTGCTTCATCGAGTGCCGTTGAAGGCTGTGAAGTCCATCTGTAGAGCGGAGATTACGCTTTCTAATCATAATCTCCAGAGATCTGGAGTCATGTCATCTAATCCCGTCTGTAGCCTCTCAATCCTCTTATCAAAGCGAATTATGGGCAGCTGTGTTCATTCATCCGACGTATGAACAGGAGCAGAGTCCAGGCCAAACACACTGACCTAAAGAGCAGCAGAGCACTGTTCATATGCAGCATATGTTGGTTAAAATAACAGATGCAGAACAATTATTTAAAGTTATCAATCGCACAAAAAATGTAATTCTATCATTTAATTTACCGGTAATTGATTTAATTTCTAAATCAACCAGAACGAAATTCTAAATGTGGGGAGGAAACAACTTATATACTATATATTAGGGCTGTGCAAAGATTAATTGCGATTAATCGCATCCAAAATAAAAGTTTGTGTTTACTTAATATATGTGTGTGTGCTGTGTATAATTATTTTGAATATATAAATACAAATGCATGCATATATTTAAGAATTATTTGAACGTAAAAACTGTGTATATATATATATATATATATATATATAATATATAAATATAAATATTTTATGAATAACACTTTCTTAAATATATACATGCATGTATGTGTGTGTGTATATATATATATATATATATATATAATATGTGTCTTGTGTGAGGAACCGGTCTTGTTGTTAGAGCTTATTTTCCAGGTTGCACAGAATTGAGGAGTAAAGTTCCCCTCGGAGGAGGAGGACAGGAGTCAGATTTCTGGAACAGGTGCTGGAGACATGAGTCGTAAAACAGAGAAATCACATTCACTAGAAGAAACTCTCTTTCGGCTGAACTTTCATCCAGGCGGGGGATTTTCAGAAAGCTTGCTCCTAGACGTGACTCATTTAGGTGGGTCCATTTCATGTACATGATTATGAAATGCAGAAGTTTTGCTGATCTGAGATCAAATGTGTGGTTTCACTTAGGATGATGATTAGGTTTATGGTTTAAGCAAGAGTGGTTTCCAGATAATGAAAACCTGCTGATATCAGTACAGTAACCACATAAAAAGTAGACGCCTATGGGTTTAAAAATAAAATCGCTGAATAAAGTGGTTAAAACCCAAAGCAACTTAACAGTTATTATGTGCCATGCATGTATTATTAATTAAAAATGTATTTATTTGGTATAACTGAATTTCCATCGTTCATAACATTCTCAGGATAAATAGACTAGAACAGCTTCTCTATTCAAACACAGTAAACGGTAAATTTTTGAGCAATGTGCTCTCTCAGATGGTCACTGAGAAACTATAGAGACCACAAACACAAATGTCCACTGTTAAACCCATTCATAGTTACTCCATTATATCCAATCCTGTTTGCCCAGTGTGCGAACCGATTCCTTTGAATGATTCGATCGAACTGTTTTGGAAAACGTTTGTCAATATCTCATGTAAGTGAAAGTTGGAACAATATTATTTACAATAGCGTGAATAATTAATGCTAATATGTTAATCATCAAATTAGCCTAATTAACAGTAATGTCGATTCCTTTGGATTGGAATGATTTCGTGTCTCTGCTTATGAAGGTGGGAAAATATAAATAGGCTATAAATAACATTATTAGAAGGCTAATGAGTGTACATTGATAGTGAGCAAAAAGGCTTTTTGCTGGCATAAAGAACATTCTAGAATCCGATTAGTATAAGATCGTTAAAAAAAGCTATTTTAAATCGTAAATGATATCGAAAGTCGAAATAATTATGACATGTAAATCCTAATTATAAGATTAAGAAGTCGAAGATTATGACTTTGTCATTATTTTGAAGTTTTGTATAATAACAATGATTTTGAATGTCATAATTTCGACTTTTTATGTTGTGGTTCTGATTTACTAATGCATGATTTTTTTTTCTCTATGTGGCAAAAAAGAAAAGCAAATTCTATCAAACTAAATTACACCTCAGGGGGGAGGGGGTTAATCCATATATTTTGACAATTTAGAGTTTACGGTGATTTGCTACTTACCGGTTATGCGCATGTGCAGACTCACCTGTTTTTTTGTTTTTTTGTTTTACAAAAGGTACATTTTCCTGTTATATTGTATAATTTCTCTTTAAAAAATGCTTACTACCATATGAATATTTGTACGGTCAGCCAGCTGAAAAAGAATAACTTAAAGTTTCAGTTACTATGAGGAAAGGTCTACTTTGACAAGTCAAAGATGAATATTTGATGATAATTTTTTTACTTTTCACACCGTTTTAAAAATAAAAACAGTAGTCTACAGTATACAGTAGCTACTCGTAACTTAGAATTGTATTATAATTGTATTTCATACGACTTTAATCGGCATTCTGTGATCAATTCGCGCTATGGTAGCATTTTTCGACAAGGCAGCAGAAAAACGGCACTCCTCCTTTATTTTGGCAACATTTTTAAAATTCCACAACACATGGAGAAACTTTAACAAATCTACATTTGGCTACAATCAACATATTATTAGCCTACACAAAAATTCAAAATTTGTGTTGTCCAAAAAGACGACTTCCATACAAACACTTTTGAAATCAACAGAATCGGCGTCAGGGTTCATTTAAGTGTTCAAACGAATCGATTCGTTTTGCGAATCGGACTCCCTCGGCACCAGGCCCAGCGCGCGTGCTCGACTACTCCAGCGGCGTTCATTCACTCGGGACTGGGAGGAGTGTGTCCTGTGTGTGTGTGTAGCTGGATAGAGCTGGAGTGGGCTGGGTTCTGCCCGTCAGCCATGTTGGAATGAGAGGGAATGAAAAGCTGGAATGAGAGAGGATCGACTGGACAAGACGGGAAAAGCGGGTTCTGGAATATCACCTCAGAAGATCAAAGCGCGCGAGCGACGGATCATCACACCACAAACCAGTGAGTAGCGCTCATTAATTAACGCTCTGAGAAATGTGTTAGGAAAGAAAAACTGTCAGTGGAAACAGTAAATATGAGGATTCCTGTACTGGATCAACCCTGCCATGCGTTCATGGGGAATACAGCTCCAAATCTAATGGATTTGGATCCGATATTTGTATTTTGTGCGGGATTGCCCGTTGATTGTGACGCGCGTTCACGCCTCGGATTCATTGGATCAAACAAACCAAGCGTTAATATTGGCTTTGGGTGTTTATGTCAACGCCAGTTTCAAAAGTTTATGCTATAATACTTCAACACATACTCTTTGTTTTGGGTTGTACATACACAGTGGTTGTATTTGTCAAATGTCCAACAGCAGGTTTTGATATTCTGGAAGAACAAACGTTATAGTGCTACACAATTAAGTGTATAAAAATAAACAGAGTGGTATGTAAACGATATGAGTATAATAATAAAGAATACATTCGATATACTCGGTGTGAGTAATATAGTAGAGTGAAAACATTATTTAAGATGTTTTTATTAAATGTACTAAATATTATCATGCTTTATTGGCACATACTGCATTAATAGTATGTTTTTTTTTGCAGAAATGTGATGTGCTATGCTTTAATATCAAATTTAGTACTTTTTTGCACACAGATTTTTAATGCAATTTTGCAAGACAAATAATTCCTATGTTTATATTCAGAAAAAGTATATAAATCCTTCTACATGATATTATATTTGCATCGCTTCGGTAAATCGACCTTGTATTTCCATATTTTTGGACAATATATTATTATGTAGTACATTTTTTGATACATATCTCACAATTTGTTAGGTCACACATTGTTATGATTTAGACTGATAGGCCCAATTGAAAATTAAATATTGAATTTTCACACAAAAAACACACACTCTCAGTGTATTGATACAACTTGAGATGTCTATCCTGTATATCACTGTATGGAATCTGAAACCATCATCATATTGCTATCTGATACCATAACTGTGAGTGATTAGACCAATTGGATCAATCAGTGTAGAATAGATGGTGGTTGTTGATTGTGATGAGCTCTTCATTGTTCCTGCAGGGGAATCTCAGTTATTTGCTGATGTGTTCTGGATATACTGTAATACTGTATTATAGTGTCCTGAGGCGGTGGAAACGGGCCGGGGTATTTTTAGCCTCCAGTCAAGTAATGCCAGACTCTGAGATCACAGCGTTCCAGTGAATTACGGCTGACACCACTCGTCATTATCTTTCGTTTGTGACCGCTGCATTATCATCATGAGAGAGGTTTGGCTGTGTGAACTCTAGTTTCCTCTGGAGGGATTGCATTGCACACAGTTAGAGGAATATAATCTTGCATTGATCAAATACAATGACAAATAGACGGGTTACAGAGAACCTGATAGCTAGGCTTAACTTGAACTGTGTGAGATATATATATATATATATATATATATACACATTCTGTAATGTAAAGGCTGAACGCATCTTTCTGACAGCGTGTAATCCTGTTGTTTTAGCTGCACAGGAAGACAGCCTGTGATTTCAGTGGCTATGACAGGAAGCTCAACCGTGTGTGTGTGTGTGTGTGTGTGTGTGTGTGTGATGGCATGGCGTTTAACTGAGATTGGTTTAGCAGGATGTAGCTACCTTGTAACGTCCCTCAGGGTTAAGGAGGAAAACGCCTTTTTCCTCTGGGCAGGATCAGACGTCTGTGCGTTATGCTGACGGAGGCCAATAGTTAGCAATTTAGCGACTATCGGCATCAGTAGCGGTGCACGCTTGTGTGTTTTTTAAGTGTGTTGCATTGCATTATCTCATTTTCTGTTGTATGTGCACACACACCTGACCAAACGAAAGCTGCGGTTCGGATTTAAATAGGCAAATGCTTAAGAGTCTATGATTTGAAGGATTATTATGTTTCTAGTAGAGTCAGACCGATATATCGGCCGATATTAGGCATTTTCCAAACTATCGGTATCGGCAGTTGTAATGGCCGATAAATGAATATTTCAAAAATAAAATAAAAACGGACGAAACACGGTTCAACCATGCCATGTTGGAGTGTTGGAGTTGCATAGTTTGACCACCAGAGGGCGCCCTACACCGTTCCTGTTGGCAACACTCGATTATAACGCGCAACACATTCTAGCTAACCATAAAGCTAGCTCAGTGGAATTTAATGAACTTTGTTAATAGGGTTGGGTATCGAGAATCGAGTATCGATTGGAACCGAGACTAACTTTTAATTTTTCCCGGAATCGTTTAAAAGTAAAAATTTTGATTCCTAGTTTCGATATTCACAGTCCGCCGAGCGGAAGAAGAAACCGCTGAACAACACCAACGAAGAAGCGTCGGCATAACCGCGCGAGTCGAACATGAGTACCTTACGTCGGCGATCATAACTACAAATATAATACATACATAACTACAATATTCATACATAACTAATGTTAGAGAAATCTGTTAATGTTTTGTTGTGCGTTCCTGAAAAAAATCAAATATCGAAAAAATATCGGCAAATATATCGGATTTTAAAACCAACAAATATTTATATCGGTATCGGCCTTCAAATGCCTTTATCGGTCGGGCTCTAGTTTAAAGCATGTTATACATTTCGGCATTTTGTCAAGCGACTTACAGTGCATTGCATTTCAAGTTACACATTTACATTCTTATCAGATCTTGCTTTCCCTGGAAATCGAACCCATGACCTTGGCGTTGCAAGCGCCAATGCTTGAGCATATTCATATAAAATAATTATATTTTCAACTTCAGAATCATGAATATTGTTATTCTGGTGTCTCTATTTTCTGTGCTTTGGGTTTCAGCACCAAATCCAAGACGATTCATTTACACACACAATGTAATATCAAATTTAGCATTTTTTTTATCATATCGCAATAATATCGTATCGTGATATCAAATGTATCGAATCATGACATGAGGGCGGGGATCGTTACTCCCATATCAGTCGTCGATGACTAAACCGCTCTGGAGCTGAACCTGTGTGTGTGTATCTGGCGTGTGTGTTGCAGAACAGAGGCTTCATTGAGAGCGAGCGATGGCACCACTGTACTTACAGTTTCCAGCGTCTCAAAGCCTCATTCACCAGCCGTCTGGAGGTAACGCCACTCACAGCGCACACAAACGCTGCTTTATTAAACTCATCTGGAGCGAGTTTTCTCGAGTGTTTGGTGTTCTGCTTCTCAGCGTGTTCAGCAGTGTGCTAATCCGGTAAATAGAGCACCTGTACCGTACGTCTTGTGTAACCGTGGTCTTTGAGCAGGCACTGAAGCGTCCCGTCGGAGAGCGGTGTGAAGGTGGGCCGGTCGGACATAAAGAGCACACCGCGGGAGTGGTTCCAGTTCCTGATCGCTTCAGGCTTTATCTCACGGTTCGACCTGCCTCTCCCGAGACACCCGTCATTACTGCAGACTCAGAGACTCCAGGAGAGCTTTTTTCCATTGTAATTTTCCTGTTTGATTCTTCTGGAAGCCATTCAACTGGTTAAATTAAAATTCAAGGTTCCTACGCTGGCTGGATCGAATTTGATTTGAGTAATTTCCAGGTCTGGAAAAGTGTGGAAAAAAGAAAATACTTGCATTTCAATCTAGACCATTGACCCTCTTTAATTTTCTATAATAGAAAATTAAGAATTTATTAATGAAAGTAAATGTATCATACAAGAATTGTGTTTTAGCTATTGCCAAAAACGACTGAATGAATTTAAGCTGCACTTTTTCATATTCTTAGCATTCTTACAGAGCCACTAAAAAAGGATCTTTGCAACAATAAATAATATGCAGGTTTTCGTGTGCGCATGAGAAACCATTAAAGGAGTAGATCATTTTTAAAAAAAACTTTTGCTGATAATTTACTCACCCCCTTGTCATCCAAGATGTCCATGTCTTTCTTTCTTCAGTCGAAAAGAAATTAAGGTTTTTGATGAAAACATTCCAGGATTTTTCTCCATATAATGGACTTCAATGGGGTCCAAACGGTTCAAGGTCCAAAAGACAGTTTCATTGCAAACTACAAATTGTTCAAAGGGCTTTAAACGATTCCAGACGATGAATAAGGGTCTTATCAAGCGAAACGATCGCTCATTTAAAAATAAAAAGGTTTTTTTAAGCTCGCCTTGCTCTGTTCTGTGATGAAAACTCGTTCATCAAAATGAACGAATCTTTTCCCGAGTCAATTCGTTCATTTCGTTCGTTGAATGAACCAAATGACACAAAAAAAGATTCGTTCAGGAGAGTCACGAATGCGCATAGGCTATGAAATGTTTTAGTTTTTCATATTTCTTTGAGCTTCACAATTCACAGAGACAAGTCCATAGTGTGTTTTGATTAAGTGTACACTTTTGATTTATTTATCCAAAATTTGCCAAAATTCTGTGACATTCCGTGTTATAATTCAATTTTTATGACTGAGTTCCGTGTTTCCATCCACATCATCTGTATCGTGGAAATCATAGGGCCCTAAAAGAGGGACGGGACAGGAAGTGACATACAAACAATCAGTCTGTGAATGAGATTAGTTCTGTTCTGTTCAGTTTAGCTCAGCTCTTTCCACTCTCCAAGCCAGACCCCTGCCGGTGGAAGGTGGGCTTTTTCCGTGTGGGAAGTGTGTTTATGTTTCAGAAAGCTGCGTGAACACAATGGCTCGCCGTCCTGTGGGAATCGGCCTCCTTTAGCACGCGTCTTCAGTGTGATGCTGGGACAGGAAGTGATGTTGCGCGTACAGGAAGCCCCATACTGCACAGGTTACATCTGGAACGGAATATATATATATATATATATATTTTTTAAGTAGTATGTGACATGTTTCAGTTCAGTAGTGTGCTGTAAACATTGCTGTCACATGATCTTGATCTTAATTCATATTGTTGTCTAGTTGTGATAAAAAAAAAGCATTTGTTTTGCATTTATATAATTAATTTTGTGTAATCTAATTAAGTTTGGGCTGGGGTCAGTAACATATTTTAAAAAAAAAGAAG